CCCCCCCCCCCCAATCGATTCTGTCGTTTGCCCCTCTGGCCCCTATCCTGCACTTCTTCTAGCTAGACGACCCAACCGGGGTTACATATGAGGGGGGAGTTGGACCCCCTCCTGCGGTTCCTGAGTGAGATATTTTTATCGCGACAAGGGTATAGCAATCCCTTCCCTCGCGACTTGTGCAGTCGATCAAGTTTACTAACAACGCGCTTTGCAGCGCGTCGCTTCCAACGGAGACCAGCATTCAATTAGTGAGAACAAACTCACTCTGTCGGGACCCGAAACCATGACCTGGCCCTTAGCAGGCCGCGAGGTTACCCACTAGACCACCGGGGCGACCGGTGTTGTACCTGTATGGTATGTAGTAGTCCCAACATGCAGAACCAACGTGATGGGTCTTTCAAATAGAGCTCGCTGCTCGGCGTGAAGCAGCGAGGGTATCTTGTTGGATTGACAAGGTAAAAAAGAACAGACTGGTCCGAATCTCTCCGGACGGAGTAATTCATTCGAAACTCGGGCGTGAGCTGCAACTTGGTATTGAATCCTTCTCTCGCGAACCAAACGTTCAACATTACATGAACGTCCTTCTGTGTGACCCCGGCTGCCGATACACAAACATCTATGAGTACATAGGAGAACGTATTTCTGTACACCGAGAAAAAGACGCGCCCAGTAGAGTGATGCGACGAGACGGAATACATAGACCACGCATATATAGACTTGATGTATTGTTGTTGTTTGTTGCTGTTGCCTTCACATTAAGAACCATTCCAGTCTCCACTCAGTACCTTCGAATGTCCGCACTGGTCCAACTGACGCGGACGCCTTCCGTGGTCACAAGCCGACTGCCCCCCACATGCATACATGCAATCACAGCGAGATGCATGAGTCGAAGGGGAAGTCTTACGTTGTTTCGAGGAGGAACCAACCATCCTGTTTTCTATTTTGGGGATCCTGCCAGGCAAATCGGCAAAATCTGGAATGCTTGCTGAATTTACGAATGTCCGCCCCAAGCGCGGGAGGACAAGCTACCCATCCACTCGCCCTTTAAGACTACAAAGACCTCCCCACGAGGGTACCACCGATCCTCAGCAAACCCACCGAATCGGCAGCACGGGCGCGTTCGCCCACAAATAATCTTGCCGACGTGACACACCACCAACAGAATAGAGCCTGCACCTGCATCAGCTGGTCTCACCCCCAGACCCCGGACCAATCTTTCCTGAAAATACACTCAATACGGACGCTCACCTCAACAACATCCGCAGGCGCATCTGCTGCTTTGTCATTGTGCCATAACTCCTTGGTCTCTCGGTAGGCCCCCGGGAGCGGGGAGCGGAGGTTGGAGCAAGGGGACGCTGCGGTGATGGCGCCGCTGGTGAGCTTGGCAGCCACCGTCCGCTGGCCTTGGCGCGAAGCCCTTACGGCGGCACGTCCCGCGATCGTCGAAGCAAGCATGCTGATACTGATTGGCTGACCTCGACGTAGGAGGGGGTTGCTTGAGAGCTGACTCGTGCCTGCTGCGGTTTGCGAGCATGAAGGAGAAGGCGCAGCAGCGTCACAAGACGAGACACCAGTTAGACTACTGGTTTCAGAATAACTCCTATTTGGATCGCACAAACCAGCCCGGCAGATCGATGCTTACAACTCTCCGTCCACGCTACAATGTGTGCCTGCTTCTCTCTCTCTCTCTCTCTCTCTCCTACACACGTACTTTGACTCATCGCGCTTTCTGCGCGTACGGCCATCCAACCCACCTGAGGTCTTATCTAGGTGGCGTGTTTCCGGGGATGGGAAGATGCAGTTTGTGGGGGAGACTGGGTGGGTCGGTGGCGCGCCACGCGGCGGAACAACAAGCAAAGACAGGCGTGCACTCAATATTGAGGTTTACGTGTACGGCGTGACGACCAGGCAGCAGTTGGCCAATAGGCTCGAAGATGAAAAACATGGTACTGTACCGCAACGGATTTCTATAAGATGTTTCTGAGATTGTTCCGCTAGGGTGGCAAGCACCACGAGGAGCGCGCGCGAAGCGCGCGAACACATCGCAGCACACGACACGGCAGCTTCCCCGAATGATGTCTCTCGGAGATTGATTGACGTTCCCGACCCGCGTTTTGATTGTCTCGCCAGTGTGCGGGCGTTTGTTGCCGTAAGCATGCATATGTAGGCATGTGCCTCCTGCAAGATCCCGACCGTCACAAATCATCCATCGTTTGGTGGCGCCGGATGCGCCGAACGAATACGAATTGCACCTGCCTGCTCAGTGATCTGAACAATCTACAGTAGCTTACAGCTGCTGCGTGATATGTAGCGGTCAGCCATATTCTGTAAATGACTAACCATAACCATGAGGAATTCTTCTTCCTCTCTCTCTTCTCTTCCTTAAAGAATGCGTCGGGCGCCGGTGGGATAGCGCGGCGAAGGCGGAGGGATTATTGGTGAAAATGTGAAAATGAGACAGTACTCTCACCAACCGACACTTGTTTGCTTGCCACACTCCTTCACCACCGCTCTCTCGTTGTACCTCGAGGGAGTAAGACATACGTACACGCGCGAGTAGGTTTTCACCTTGCCCATCCCGGCCCGACACCGACCTACCTGCAACCAAGTCGTCGTCCTATTGGGGAGCAGCATCCGAAGCAGCGATGTACAAAACTAAGAGGTGTGCACAAGTGATATGAAAGCACCACCATGGTTCGACGTTCTTTTGAAGTTGTTGTCCGCGAAAGGGCATTGCTGTACTGCTGTGCCTGTGTCATGGGCGGTAGGGGGCGAGACGCACAAGTGCAGTGGTAAAAGAAGAGCGCTGCCGCAATGTGAACCGTGGTCAGGGTGCTGTCTGTCTGTCCGAGCTCTGAACACATTCATCATGAAGAGACTGTCTCAAGTATGTCCAGTGCCGGCCCGCTCGCAAGAAAACACATACTTCGAGGGCTCAACGCCTTTGCAGTGTATCAACGATTGAGCGCAGGCTGATGCTAACCCTATCATATTCCATGAGGTAGTGTGGTGCTCGTGGCTGAGTTTATTTTCTTGCGCAAATTTGTACCATTTCCTAATAATACGAGGGAAGTCTTCATTGTTGAGCTGAAAAAACCATTGGAAAAAAGAGCCGACTGTTTGTGAGCATGTTCCTACGAGCGGGTCGGCCCTATTGTAAGCAACAGCCGCAGTACAAAACAAAATATTGGTAGCCTACGTTCATAGCTATGTTCTCACGCGCTTTCACGATACCAAGACTCTACAACATGACGTTGGCGAATGCCTGGTTCAAGGTGAGAAATGCTTCACTGAAATATTCCTCCGAGCAAACGGAGAAGCACGTCACGCCCTCAATGCTCGGTGCACGGCTGGTCAAGAAATCACGCCGGATACACTCACATAATTTTCGCACAGATTAAACAAGAACATGGTGGACGGTGGCTCTTACATTAGCATCGGCGACATGTACAAGGGCAACAAAATCATTCTCCCAGACCGATGGAAGGGCAAGGGGCTTTCGGTAAGTTGTGCTTGCCCGCTATTATTGTGCGTTGTGGAAATCCAAGTTTTACCCTCCGGAAATACGTGCACTATCATGGAGGCAGCAGTTCAAGTTGGAATCACTTTCTGTGAGGCTACAAATACATCATCACCAGCTGGAACATAGTCCTCACCATCTTCGGAAAAGAAGACGTTCGCGCTGCCAACGGACCACCCACTTGGAATCGGACGCACGGAGAATCTTGCTTATTCTAAGTCCAACAGCGCCAGAACGACTCACACCACAGGTCAACAGCAACGTCACGGAACGGTTACGTGTTTTCACTTGATTTTACTAAACAACAAGCGCCTTAACATCTGGGGTGCCATGCCGCCTACGCGCGGCCTTGGTGGGAAGCAACGCTGAAAAATAGACTTGCGCTGGCGCTCGCTACTCATCTGCCAGGTGCCCCAGATCCCCAAGAACGCGGAGAACGGCAACTTCAGCCGGCTCGAGTACAGAAATGAGCCGTATGCAGATATGGAGAAGTTCTCCAAGACCCAGCCGCTGGACAAGAGGAAGCTTGGCTTTGGGTGAGTTCGACGTTCCGTGTCATCGCCCACACTATCCTGCCCACCGTTCGTGTTCATCCGTCTCCCTCACTAGCGCCAAGTTCATGCGCCTGCCACCCGGTAGACAACTATCGAGGCGTGGTCAATGGTAAATTTCGAAGCAACTCAAGGATGCTGGCTTTGTAGTAGTTATGGCGAGGATAACGAGTCTCGGAATCGCGCCCACCTGCCTATCGCGTTTTTCCCGGGCATGAGTATCGTGGTGGCGTGGTCTCGCGTGACCTTCTGAACGAGCTTCTGTCGCTTTCCACTCGGAAACAAAAGCTGTTGCTTGTTCGAGGGCCAGAGGCAATGCTCTTAAGCTGGATCATGATGAGGAGCTTCATATACACGATTCCGTGCGTCATGCTGCCTCTAGAACAGGCTCCGGGTCCATCTTCCCTCGCCCTTGCCAGAGCCTGTGATGTGCGCTCCATCCCTCTCTGCTCGCACCCTACTATTTCCCTGTCAACAGAAGACAGGACCTCCTTGAACCGCCGTGAAGCCTCCAAAATCGACGACAAAATCACCTTCAGCACCAAAGCCGACCATTATCATGCTGCTGTATCTCCCGTCACTGTCGAAATCGTACCCTCCCCGACCCCAAAAAAACGCTTGCAGCACGAAGGATGCCTTTCGTCCGGGCGAGTTCACGGCGACCATCCGAACGGAGCAGTACCGTGATCTTCTCCGAGCCGAGAAGAACATCATGGAGAAGCACCGCGACCCCGCCAAGGACCAGGCTGCAGCCCAGGTGAGGGCCTGGTGTAACGTATGTCGCCATCGCGTTTGCAGAGGCTAGCCAGGCGACGGCGGCGTGTGCGACGTCCTGTAGCACGTGTTTGGTGGGAAAGCTTCGGCTTCTTTTGGGTGTCATTGCGCATTGACCGCGTGCTGATTGAATCGGCGCAGAACGCTGGCTCGTGCGGCGGAGGGAAGACGTCGTTAGGTCTGAGGCGAGGACAAGTCAACCAAAACTGTGAGCAACGCCAGGCAATCAAAGCAGCAGCAGCAGCAGCAGCAGCAGCAGCAGCAGCAGAGGCAACGACGAAATATCATCGTTTCGTGTGTTTGGTTAGTTTGCTGTTTTGCCGTTCCGAGGCGTGAACATCCACCTCTCCTCTGTCGTCCGACTACATCTGATCGGCAGAAGTACGAGAAGGACTGTGCGGAGCACCGAGCGTTTCCCGACGGCTTGAAAGAAATCGAACACCTTTACGACGTCGGCCGCAGCCAGGTAAGGAAATCTCACTTTGTAAAGGCATAATCAAACAAGATGTATTTTGCATCGGCGCTCAATGCAATGGACGAAAATCTTCAAACAACGACTCTTTTCCCGAAAAAGATACCACCTTCTGGGCTAATTTGTAGCTAGAGCAGCTCGGCGGCGTGATCTCCAAGTTTGCCGAAAGTGCTTGTCCCTCGTTTTCGCCGAGTGATGCCCAAGAGAAAAAAACCTTGGTGGTCGAAACGCCGCAAACAAGTGAGCTTAGGAATGTCGCGCGTGACTGCCGTGCCTGCTGCAGTCTCGATGCGGTACACGCGGTTTTGCTGAGTGCCCCGCTCGGCAGTTTCACCCCCAGGACGCACCGCAAGGACGTTTCTCAGATAGTGCGAATCTCGCCGAATAAGGAAGGGCTTTCAAGCGGGTATATCTGTATGTATGCGCAACAGCCAGGCTCTAGGCAAAGACTCATCGGGCACCAAATGTGGACCTGAACGTGAATCGGATCTTCCCGGTCAAAACTTTGTCGATGACTTCTCTAGTAAAGGTTATCGCCTTTTCGCTGCTTTGTCTCGACAAGGTGACCGAGTTTGACCCCAAGAACTCACGGGACAGGTTCTACACGCTGTCTACTGGCCAGGAGAAGCGGCGGGGCCCCTATCGTACAATGGCTCAGGTAACGGCCGTCTACCTTTACCGTTGTCCGAAGTCGGCAATGTGTACGTTGTCTGGTGGGAGCCAGCGTCGTCTTTGGTCGTTGAAATAAATGAACATCTACGGTATTTGTCGCAGTTGTCGTTGTCGTTGTTGTTGTCGTTGTCTTCGTTGCTCTAAAACATAACCCCAACGCCATAATATTCGATGTCACGACCCGCGGAAACATGTAACACACCAACCGTGTCCCAGTTTACTCAAGCACTTAGAAGCACAACAATGACAGAGAAAAAACCAACGCTAGCACTATCCGGGAAGCTACAAGGATACTGCTGGCCTGGCGTGAGGATGTTCTTTGAGTCCAACAGGTCTCCATACTGTCTACTGACTCTTCTTCTACAGCTCTCTGACAATCTGTGGTCTCCTTGCGTGTCATCCATCACCTGGCCCTCCCAATATTCAGAGGATTTACGCTGTGTTGGGCAGGGGTTTTGAGGAGTTGCATACTTCACCAGCTTGAGGCACGAGGTTTCATCTTAGGACCCCTGCGGGCACGTATACGTCGCTCATATACTCTCAGCACCACCCCACCGAATTGCTCAGAGTACAGTCGCAAAGTGGGAGAGTTTGATGGGGTTTCGAGGAACGTGCCTTATTTTTTGGTGCCCTGATGTTGGAGTTAATTAAGGGTGTGAGCGCTATTTCTCGAAAGGATATCAGGCGTACTGCCGTGTCCCGTCCCGCTTCGCTGCCTCACCCAGCTGTCCACCATCGTTTAGCTGGGTGGCGGTACCAACCTGTACATCACGAAATGTAGAATTCAACTCAAAACGAGCGAATGCGGAAGAACTACAGTACTCCAGCCAGTGTAACGATGCGACAACACACAACGGAAATCATACCTACACGGCCATCCCTGATCTCTATGGTTGTTCGTTTGCATGGTAGGTTTGACTTTTTCCTCCGCGTTTTGTTCTTCAACAAGAACAAGATTCGAAAATGTTTTTGCAAACAACGCGACGAGCGCACAACGCATAACGGCTGCAACGCAGGACATCGGGTCCGGCGCTTGGGGGCACACGTACCAGTCGCCGGAACACGGGCCCATCCACCACGTCAAGTTCTTCTACGACAAGAGCCACCTCTCCTTACCGCAAAGCTAAATTTGGGATCCCGTTGGTCTGGGTGGTTCCGGTTACCGGGCCTTACGCAGTTGGTGCAGCAACATTTCCTTTCAGTGGTAGTAGTAGCGGTGGCAGCAGCGCCTGCGGCAATTCTAGTAGAAGTTTGGTAGGCGCTTCTGTGAGTTGGCTCCGATTTGTGACGGACTTCATGACTATTTACTTAACATTGTTAGCGTACAGGCGACGACCAATATCGGCAAGCCGGTTAGCCTCAACCAACCATCGTTGATGTAGATATTCTTCTGTTGTGCCCATTATTTGATATTCCATCGGGCTAATTGATGCACATCTGTTCCCAACGCCAGACGAGTGCCTGCTGGGCTGATATTGCTGTTGTTGGCTCATCTGCCCACTCGAGGACCGCCTTCAACCAGATAATCTATTTCACAGCACAACATTATAGTCTATGGCGGGGGGGAGGGGGGGGACCAAGCGTGGCTCCTCTGCTCGCCACAGTTTGAAGGCTACCCTGCTCCTTGGTGCGCTTGTGTTCTGCCGTGAAGTCGTATCGTCGCGGTCGAATGCAACCCTATTGATTCCGACAGTACTCTCGTCCGTTCGAGTGCACTCGTCTTCCCTCGCCGTGCTCCGCGAAAGTGCCAAAGTATGGGGAAGAAGTCGCTGAGGTATGCCTTATTTGTTTTTCCCAGCGACTTGGATTTTCCACTGAAGCAGGATTAGGTGTCTTTCGGAGAAGGCTTATCCGGGCTACCTAATGTAGTCGTAGTGGTGATGTAGTTATCGCAGCCGTTGGGTCTGCTGGGGCATCGCTTTCTTCGAAAGATCATCGGCAATAGCAAGAACATCAGCAGAACATCTTCGTGCCGTAGAGCCGCAAGCACTAAAAGCACCCGAGGTGCTGACATGGGCTATTGCATGCCTGCACTTGAAGGCACGGGAGAAAGGTTTTGAAGCTCTGCCCAACGTGTGCGTGACAACACACGGGAACGCAGTTTTTCCTCGCCGACATGGTGTACTATTCATCTCAATCTCCACGCAACCGTTTTCTGACTCTGTTCCAACGTTGGGAGCTCTCAACCTTAGGAGGCATGCCATTCTTGCAAGGGAGGGGGCGCGACTGCTGCTCTTGCCGACCAAACCGGGGGGTTTTCTTACAAGTAAGTCTGGAACGCTACCCCCATCTCCGAGTGCCCAAAAATTCGAACTCAATTTATAAAGCAAGAGGAAGAGGTTCGATACCTTCAGAACCTCCATGATGACGGAGAAAAGCAATTATGTCGGCCAACACTGCGTGCGTGCGTGCGAGCGAAGCTTTCCTCGAAGATAATAGCTTGGTCATACCACACACACACATCGATGTATCGCTGCCAGCGTTTTCATCTCGTGCAATGCAGACCAATACTGACATACAGCTAGCTGCTGACACATCAAGCAACACCCACTCATGGCTCGTCTTTGTATTCCCAGGATCTTCTCCATGAACTCTCCAGCTGCAAGCTAAAAACATCGACAGGTCGAACGAAAGCAAACAAACTCCTTGCACCTTGAATGGACGGGCGCCAAAAAACTCGCAACCAGGAAACCCAGCGCCAAAGCACCACACTGACACGAAGCAGCCGGTGTTGGAAGTATCGTTTTGTCCTCCGGCGAATTGAAGAAAAAAACACTGAAGGATTGCCGTAGTTGCTGTTGCTGTAGTTGTCTTTAACATACCGTTCCGATCTCTGTATCCAGTACGTCCATCTGTCGGTGTACTAGTCTAACACTTGACTCGGTCGATTCCCGTGGCCACAGGCGTTAACTTACCCCAAAACAGGTATGGCAAAATAAAATGGACCCGAAGGGTCCGCAAGTCAATAGAGATCAGCGACAGGTAGTCTAGTACCCTCCGCTCGCCTCTGGTACACGTTATGCGAAGTAAACAGAGACTAGAAGTCAACATCACGATTCAGAGGGAGGGGTAGGCACACTCCCTGGTTCAATCTGGGTATTCAACACAAAAAGAGAGGAGGCCACCTGAAACAAAAAGAAACAGAAAAAAGACGAAAGAAACGGAGAGAGAAAACAGAAGAAGGAAAAGAAAAAGAAACCAAAATAATGAAAACGAGGATGACACGTGCCAGAACTACCTGTCTGTGCTGTAACGACCAAACAGAACAAAAGGGGCACCAGAGACAGCAAACGCACTTCGTCGCTAGTGGGGGTTTGACGAAACGGTGCAGTGATGGGGGGGGGTAGTCAGTCAAGGGTTCAATCCGGCACGTACCGCGCCACTCGCTCCGCCTCGTTTTCTTTCTTCGCTCGTCGCCTCGTCCGTCTGCTGCCCCCCTCCCGCCCCATGGGTTGTTTTCATGTCGGTGTTGTTGCTGGGCTTGTTGTTTCGTTTCAGCGCTCGTTGTCGGCTATTCTCATCTTTATCCTCGTGCCAGGAGGTCATGAAATTCTTAGCTCCCTGCAGTACCCCCCGTATGCCACGGTGCACCCCGCTCCACCTTCACTGCTTCCGTCCAAGTTGCTTGCGGGACTCCGAAAACACATGGCTCGGCGTCCGTAGATCTGTGCTTTGCCTAGAACATCTTGAGGTCGCCCTTCAGGCACATCTGCCCGTTTTACTCCGGCTTCCCCCTGCCTGGGTCCTCCCCGCAACCAGTAAGCCAAGCATTTTCCGTTTCGGGAGTCGCCCGTCTGGCTGCCTTGCCAATGCTCCCGCGAACAGCAGGCGCCGCTGCCGAACGTGGCTTCCACACTCTGACACCCTACCCTTTTCAGGGTCTGGTAGGAAAGCTGCTGGTAGGTGCCCTTCTTGCGGTGGTAACCGATGGCTTGCAGGAACCGCTGGTGATGAATCGACCGCAACAGCCTGTATCGGTCTTGACGTCGGCCCCATTTCATTCAACCGTACAGCAGTGCCTCCATCGCCTCCGCCTGGAGTAAGCGAGCCTCGAGTCGAAACCGTGCTCTCGGCCTGACGAAGAGCTCCCGACCGTATCGCTTGATGTACGCCCACGCTGTTCGGCTTCCTGCTTTTTTCTTCGGTAATTGATCTCCCAGGTGAGGTCGCCATGTTGGCTGACGAGGTCACGTAGGTACCGGAACTCAGTCGTCTGGGCGTACCTCTGCCCTGCTGCCCCGATGATTAGCGGTGGTGGCGGAGGAACGGTGATATGGGCTGCTTCTGTGTAGCGCGCATCAGGAGCGTCTCCGTCTTCTTCTCCGATACCGTCAGCCCAAACTCCCGAACGCCTCCACGACGACGGCCATCTTTCTCGCCAGTCCGTCGACCGACCTAGATACAACGCCAGCGTCATCGTCATACAGCATCTCCCATACCGCCGTCCGCATTCGGTCAAGTGGCAACCCCGCCCCCGCTCCCGTCTCCTCCGCCACGTACACCAGATTCTGCAGAGTAACATCATCCTCGCTGAATCGAATGACAACGACCTCGAGAACCGCGACGAAGGAGATGTTGAACAGCAGTGGGGACAGCACATACAAACCCAGGACCATGTCTGAAAACTCTCCGTCGTCCATGCGCACCCGCGATCGCATTCCGTCGTGGAAGACGACACGAATATCGTCTTTCCCGTTGGCGAACATGGACATCGAAATATATCAAGTATGCAGTACCACCCTTTTGCTCTCGTGATCTCCCAGTTTTGAACCTATAGTGAAGACATACCAACCATCACTGTTTTCTCTACTGCTCTGCCAATCATTTTCCTCGTAGGATAGTTTATCCGCCTCGGTTCTCGAGGGATAACAATTACAGTACTCTACAACAAGTCCCCATGATAGGCGCATGCAGTCAGTTTGTGACGGAAATCGGTCAATCAGTATTGCCGAACTACCTCGTGGTAAAAACCTCAAGCACAGCCCTCTCCGAAGCGAGTATCTCTACACGTGCTTCATGTGTCATACTAAATAAACAAATAGTTTTGTCGTCGGTGTGTCACGCTCCTTCCGATGATCGAGCTGCCACGACATTGTCCGTGGCGGCGATCATCGCGCTGTCCACAGACCCCCCGGCAACCTGCAAGCACAAAGGGAACAGCACGAGCGGTAGCCCATCGACCTTACCACACTATGAGTACATGCGGTGAAGGGAAACTGGCTGGTTCCCAAACCTAGCGCTCGCCTTCTGTCTTTCTTTGTGGCATAGTCTAGAGGTTTGGTGCTGATGCCGTATGGGCTGGTACGCTTAACTGTTACGGCGATCGTGGGATAGACGACACAATTTGCTCTGCTGGGTAGCTACAAGATCGGTGGGGTAATCTAATCTCATAGCTAGAGTGCGAGTGACGCTCCCGAGACGTCTTCGAAATCGCGTGGTTTATCGGGAAACGAAGACCACAATTTCATCTGGAGGTCCGTAGGAGAAACAAGAACCTATCCGTGAACTGCGCGTGCAACATACGGACCGTGTGGACACTGATAATGCGTCCCAGATTTTGATAAAATTGTCTTCGTTAGGTTCAAACATTGTCATCAACTATTCGTAGCTATTGGGACATGAGAGCGATGGTACTGCAGCACCACGACAATTGCCCCGATGGCAGTGTTGCCTGGTCTGGTGAACGTCCTGCCGACAGATGTTGTTTGAGAGAAAACGGCACATCTCGCAGATGGCCGGCCGGCTTCCGTACGAGGTTCGAACTCGAGTGGTTGACATGGATCTCCCCTCCAATACTGTTCCCATTTTGCACCAAGGGTCCCTCAAAGTCGAGGGTTATCACGAAGCCAAGGCCAAGTCAGACAACATGCAACTGATGTCCACAGAAATAGTTTTAAAGACTATATACAATCTGGGTGGCTCGAATCTTGTGATGTACGTCTTATGCTGGGTTTTTATGGACTATGAAAACTGGCCAACAGCCAGCGGACAACAATTTACGGTCTTCTTGCACGACTCTTGTACGACGTCGGTTCTGTCACCGCATCGCCAACGGCAGCAAACAGTGTACCACGGCCACTGACCTGTAGCATGACAAGCTTCCCCTCCAGTACTCCCGGGTCTACTTGGTGCCGCCCCATGGCTGTTTCAACGGCAGCGGATCCCAAGCCCATCTTCAGGGGAAAAAAATATGAAATTCCGGGTCCAAACGCAGGATCCCACAAGCACGATGTCAAATGTGAGAGTCGCAGTGGT